CGGAGAAAATTTAAACATATTATAATACTGTTTTTCAGTTAAAACAAAATAATATCAAATGATACAAAATTTATCGGTGTTTCCACGAAGAAATAATCAAATACTTCGTCCGTGATTGAGATGAGTTGCTATTATTGTATGAGTAATATTATTTTCCTATCATACAATTATAATTATACTGTTCTCTCTTTACGTACAATTTATATTTTAGTATTACAACAATGACCGAAACAAAAATCCAACAAAAGATGTGTTATCTTTAGACGTCAGGCGTTAAAGAACCAATAAGAATAAGACTAATATAAATTTACAACCAATTAGCTAGGTTTAAAGACTAAAAAGCCACGTGAAGAAGCAACTTAAATTTTCAATTAGGTAAACGTGAGAGAATTTTTCAAAGAACTTCCAAGAGAAGCGTGGGAGAGTCCATTTGATTACACAACGAATATCCATAAAAAAAATGTTCGCTTGCCAATGGTGCCAGCGAGTAGTGCAGCAAGCTGTACAATTTGAAAACATAGTAACTACATTTTGAATAATTTTACAGCAGCTAATTTTCCTACAGCCAGAAAATTCACAAAGGAAAAATCCATTTGGTGTTTAAAAAATTTTACTTTCTGAAACCCAAGAAAGTAAATTTTGTTTAAAATGTTTATAAGTATGAGTATAATAAGATTAAGTAGTCAAATATAATATCGATTTAGAAAAAAAAAAACGAAGTACTTATTAACCAAAATGTATTAATTAAAATTTGATCAAAAGGCAATTAATTTAGCTACCTAAGGACAACATGGATAAATCCAAAAGTGATCATCAAACTAAAAGAAAATCAAACAAAATAAATAATGTAAAATTTTAAAAATGAAAATAATATCATAGTTTTGTAATTGTAAATAAATAAGAAACACCACCCGCCAAGTATAAAAGTAAATTATGATTGAACTTATTATGAAAAATATTTCAATCGTTTTATTGCAAACAAATTATTTTTAATAAGTATTATTATTTTTACGAGACAAAATAATGTTAGCGATCGACCAAAAAAATGTAAACACACTTAACATTTGTAATGCAAGTACAAACAGCAAAAAAAAACCCAGCAGTCGTGTACGATCAACAGGTCATTCGACTGAAATTGTCATAATTGCTTAAGCTATAAAACGCTTGTGTTGAAAACCGTTTTATCCGATGCAAATCTACGTAGTGTTTTAGAAGAAGATATCCTTGTAAAAGTAAAAACTGTTATTGCGGTTTATCAAACGTTTTATTCATTTTTTATTGCCCATAATCTTAAGGGATAAACCAAGCTAATAAAGTGCGCAACACATTTTTTTTTTACACAATCGCATTATTCACAGTTCTCGGGGTAACGTCCCAATGATTAATGTCAATAGATACGGCTATTATAATATAAAATTATCCTTGCGGATTGTCGAGGCTACACAACCGACCAAATTGAGTCTACTTAAGCGATAAATCAGCCAACGAAATTACTCCGAATAGGAGCAATAATTTCTTTCTTGTTTACATAATTTTTTTTTTTATGATTTTTTTAAAATTCATATAAATTCCATAGCGAACCAGTAAATTTAATTGCTCCCTCTATTATTAACAAAGTTTTTGTTAGAAATACAATTTTTTTTTTTTATGCATTATTAACTTATTCATTGAAATTTTCTTTGAACTTAACTCGCTAGTTTTGCTATTTTTTTTAAATGTTATATGTATATTACTGCATATGCAAAACTATTATTTATTAAACCTGTCATTTCAGTTATTTATTTTTTCATTTCACATTTTCGACAGTATGGTTTTACCTTTTTTTTTTTGTTGTTGAAAATTATACACTCTGATAATGTATTAAAGAAATGTAATACATTATCCGTATTATTCATGTTTTAAATATTTAAGTGTATTTGTTTTGTAAGTTTGGTAAACTGTATATTGTTAGAACGTAAGTTTTATTTTTTAAATATCGATAATTTTCCAAGAGCAAGCCAAAAAAGTTTAGATTTTCCCGAGGGTATTTGATTTGTGTTTTTAAGTACTTGAATTCTAGGTAAACGTGTATTATGATATTAATTTCTAACGTACACACGATTATATTATTTAAAATATTTCGACAAACGCTTGTTTTAGAAATTATATTTCCTCATTGTATTATATTTATTTTTAACAATAATTTTTCTTTTTTCTTTTATCGAGTGTTTAGTATAATTATGTTAAATAAGCATCTCAATGCGACACCGCCTGTCATGTCAATTAACGGAAACTCCATCTCACTGACAATGGAAGTAAAAACGTCACCGGTTTAATGACGTTATTATGTAAGTGCTGTTATAATCCAACTCGTAAGAAACTGCAAAAGGATGTTGTTAACTCGATTTTTAAGAATAATATCAATTCGGACATTTAGTTTTAACTTTGATGTTTTCTTTCCGGTTAATTGAACAAATTATAAAAAAAGTTATTATTTTTGGAATGTCAAAATTGTTTTAAAAATTTCTGCATACTGTTATGATGGTATTTTTGTACTATTGTGTTGTATTAATAAATATCGCTTAATCTTACGGTCATAGATTTTTTTATCAAAGTCCCGTGAGAGCTACCTAAGCACCCTGCCCCTCTCCCCATTGTGGCCTATAATCTATGAAGTACAGTCTCACGGTCGGTACGGATTAACTATGAAAAATAAAATAGTTTCAACGTTTCATAACAATATAATCAATGGTAATGACTAATGACTAATGTTTACTTGTGCGCAAATTTATCGGTTTAAACAACATACAAAAGGGTTACACGGTTTCCTCGTTGACAATGAGATTAAGTACATATATTATGGAATTTCAAACCAAAAATGTCGAACTCAAAATATTACATAATATCAAATCCTGTCGAATGAAAATCAGAAGCGCATCATCAAAAGTAAGCCCTTACAAAAAATGAATGTATAAAATTCGTTAATTCACTTAATTTTGTTAACCGAATATCGGTTGTAAAAAAACATTTCTTTCCCACCTTTAGGCAATATTGTTAAACCGTTTCTGTATGTTTTACTTGTAAAATATGCATTTAAATTTTTACTCAAGTTATGTGAATGAGAATTCGTTGCATTACAAAAAAAATAATAGTCTTAAGAATTGGCAAACAAAATTCAATTTTAATCTACACTATAACACACGCAGTACTGGTTATTATCGTATAAACCATGTATTCTTAGCGCAAAGTCAAGTTCCCGATTATTTCTTTGAAGTTGAGTTTTGCTGCATCTCAAAATGCCTCCAACTCGCTGGACTTAAATAAACCTGATTGAAATATTCTATCGAAAGCGCAAAGTTTTCGCATAGTTGTCAATTAATTAGGTGTACCTACATCTGAGGACGATACACTATCAACTGAAATGATGATAACTTTGTTAAGTGACGCTGTTTCTAGTCGGTTTTCCCCGTACTACTAGTTGAGGTGTATACAATCAAATAATATGGTACACAATATTATTATCTACAATACTATAACATCAAAGAAACGTCATCGATTTCTCTCTCTACAAGTGCTATATAATCTTCTTTGGGTAAAATATAAACACAACTTCATAATAGAATGCTAATACTGCATTGTTATTTAAAATTAATCGTATGTGTGCATCAAACAATTTTATGTAAAAATGTTACAATCGTTTTCGGTCTTTTTTTCCGGTACTCTTGTGCAGACTTCTTGCAAGTACAAAATGAAAATAATATTAAATACCTACTTGATTTATTCAATCTAGACTAGCTGTCTTATGCATTATATTTTACAATAATATTTCATAGCCAAAAATAGAGAAAATAAAATACAGGAGACCCCCGTATGCATAACAACAGTATACACTGAAACTGTATATTGTTTAATATTATATTATTATTATAATTGACATTTTTCAGCTGCATACTCCGGTAAAACAAGAATTATTAAGAAGTCAACGCTTGTAAACGAAACAGCTGTTTCTCCACTACATCCGTGTCTCTATATTTTTTAACATTCAGTTACTTCTTTATTGGTCTATAGTACCTTTACTTCTAAATCCCTCTGTACTAATCTGCCTTATCCGTTTTACGGTAGACCTTTTTTCAATTCACCCAAACTTTCTCTATCTATTTAGTCTATCTATTTATTTATACTATTGGTGAAATTTGCAAACTAATTTTTATATACTTATTCCTTAATTTATCCAACTCAGTCGGTTCACGATTCCATCTCGATATAAGTGGCTTGTTAACAACGGAATCAGTTATAGTGAGTAATTGCTTAAGTCGAATAGTATAAAAGTAAATGGAATTTTTCATGATTTATATACTTTTTTACAGTGTAAAATAAAAGTTATAAAACCTTAAATCGTCTATTTATGTAACAACTAACACAACACAATCTCATTCATGAGCTTTTATAAATTAAAATACAATTATAAATATTTGAATAATGTTGAGGGGAGAGGAAGTAAACAATTCAATTTTTATGTTAAAACGTTTCAATTTGTAAGTACTTATAAAATGGTTGTACCTTGTAAATGACAAGGTGCAAATTCAATAAATTATTGAATTTGCATATCCTGAGGACACTGTCGTGTACGCAATGTATTATTGACTTGTTTGTCAACGTAATTTTTTTAAATAAATTTAAAAAGGGCGATTACAATAATTCGCACAAGTCCCGCGCCGTACAAAAGGTGTTGTGGAGTTTTTTTTATCAACGTTTAAAACGTTTCCCGGTTTCCCGTGTAGAATACGATAAAGATTATATAGCCTATATTTTTCAATTGTACACATTTTTAAGAGCGGCCCAAATCAATGACATTCGACAGTTTTTTTTTGTATCAATTATAGTCATATTATGTATGTAAGAACACCTATGCAAATATTTTTCTCCCAATTATTCGCTAACTACCTACTAACACACTATTGTCAAAACGGCTTTTGGAGTTAAAAAAAAAAAAAAAAAAAATGCATATTCTCATGACTTACCAGTCCGGACGTGGGCCTCGAGTGCGTGTTCCACGTAGGTGACGGATAGCTACAAGCGGAATGAGACTAACGGCAAAGAAGCAACGCAATTTGTACCAGCGAGCTCGTCAAAGCGTACAACCCCGTCATATACGCCCCCTGACAACCCCTCGGCGGTCAACCGTGTATTTGCCGCGCAACCTGTTGGCGTTTGCCGTGTGAAAATATATTTTATTAACCAGCCGATAGCCCTTTCCAGCTCCCCCTGCACCCCCCCCCCCCAAACTATCCTAACGGAAAATTTTTTTTTTGAAAATTCCGCAATCGTTTTTTGTTCGGGCGACAAGCCCTGATTTTCGAGAAAGAATCGCATAAAAAACAAAAAATACTATCTGAAAATTAAACAAAAACAGAGCGAGCCGGCGGTCAGACGCAGTGCCATATGTACGGTCAAGATTTCTTCTTTTTTTTTTTTGGAAAAATTCATCACGGTGAAAAATCATCAGACTGACGATACGAATCGGTGTTATTGTAAAACTACAAGTAAAAAAAAAACGAATATTTTAATTCTGAAAATGTAAATACAACAAAATTGACCATCGATTAGAAATTAGAATTAGCCCACTCGGAATTCACAACAAAGTCGAGGAAATGGTCAACCACTCTGTGAGAGACTCAAATGGAAAAAGCTAAATCGTTACTTTTACTTAACCGACTTTCGCCCAAACGCCACATGACCGTATGATACACGTTTTGTTATTATAATTAGTACAAAATATTGTTATAAAAATAAAAAAAATTGAAAGTATTAATATTTTTAAATAACTGCGTGGGATAACACCCGACAACAGGTTAAATTTAAGGAGACCACACATAATAATTTTTAAGACAGTTTTTTTTTGCAAAATCTCAATATTTATATAGGTATGTATGGTGCTCTAATAGACATATAAAATTGCAACAAAAAAAACTAATTCAATTATGAATAATTATTTCTGCTCGCAAAATCATTGGAGCGTGTAGACTTCGAAAGTTAAAATATTATGTTTTGAGAACGTTTTTCTCGTCTTTTGTAAGGATGTGGTAAACTTTTAAATTCTCCAGTACTTCCTGTAGACCTGATAAAAAGTAACCGTCATACTTTACACAAACAAATTTTTTTTTTTAAACATCAACGTTTTGTACAACCCTTTACGAGCGAAAATAAAAATAATGACTTGTGGTATAATATGTACACGCATAAGTATATACAGTGTATAGTGAATTACCGACCGATCTCAAGCCAATCACTATTTATAATCTTAATATTTATTTACTTTCTTGTTTGTTCAGTTTTCGACATAAGAGTGATCTTGTAATTTTTCAATAAATTCTATAGAAAAATACCCCTGCCCAAAGTTATTATGATATTATACCTAAATTGTTATAAATTGTTTCATTGTGTTTTCGGCTGCAATGTACTATTATGACTTTTTCTTTTCATTTAGCTGAAATATGCGAGGTGAATGATTATGATTAATGAAATGATTTAAAATAATAATGTGCTTATAAGCTTTTTATGAATTTTATTAGTTGGCATGACCTCAGACATTACAACAAAAAAAAACCATGTATATTAATATTTTAATTTATAAAACTATACACAACGTGTAAAGAAATTTAAGAATACACTGCTGATTATACTTGACACTTTAAAACAAAAACAACAACTGGGAAGTCAAAAATTCCTCTCTTAGACCTTCTGGGTTCGAAAAAACCCGTTACTTTGTTTACACTAGCTCAGAAGTAGGCGAGTCTAAAAAAAAACAAAAAATTCCTTTTTCCCATTCACCAGGATAACGAGGGCACTTTTATTTTTTTAGCAAAACATTATGACTGGTATATTTGAAAAAAAATACGACTGCGGATAAGTGTAATATATAATAAATTATATCGAGGGAGGGGAGGGATAAATATCAATATCAGAGTCAACGTTTTTTGTTTTTTTTTGTTACAAGATGGTATAGTGTTTTACTATGAGACCGAAAATGTCAAATGTACAGAACAACGCCTAGAGTACTATAAAGTTAAATTTATGAAATTGTCCATGTTCAGCCACGTCCTTTGCAATAACGTACAAATAATATAGTATAATAAAGTGTGGTAAACATTAATATTTTCAAATTAAATTTTCTATACCACCTATTCGTGTACCTACGGATAAAATATTATCAGTTGGGCGTTTCTAAGAATGTATCTTGTGTAGGTTGTTAATATATATATATTTTTTTAATTAAACCGACTTGGGCGATATTTAGCGAATGTGGGTGATTTCCGCTTTGTTTGTCTCAATGAAAATTTTTACTTTTATCTGTATTTTGATTATTTCATGTGGATTAAACATTAAATAAAGTTTTTTTCCACAATATTAGCTCTCTAATAATCGCTCTTGCCAGTTACTATTTTTTTAAATTTAATATGTACCGACACTATTGATTTTTTATTTATTTCTAAAATTACCCTTTATCCTTAAAAAAATTTCGACAATTATCAATATTTTTTTAAATATTGTCTATTTGAACTCGAGAACCTCAAAATTATAGCACGACCAATACTTAAGTCGTATACAATATACACGAAGCCCTGAATATTTTTTGTGTCATTTTAATATTTAGATTAATTGTATTGTCATAATGCATACCAAATTAAAGGTTATGCCCCCAGGTTATATTTTGGTAGAAAAAAAAATAGTGTTTGCCAGCTTTTCAGAGTTTGGTTTTTTGTCATAGAATGAAAATGGTCAAGGTCCGAGTATTTTCTAAAACAACTTCCGCTAGTGTTGGATATTAATGCAACAAAAAAAAAGTACATTTTATTTGTATTATAACTATAATCGAATAGCAAATACAACACGAACAAATAACAACATGCAAAAGTTATCAGCCGTTGTAATAACATAAATTAACAGAATGGATAAAAAAAAAAAATTGAATTAATTTTAAATAATTTATTATATTCGAAGGGGATTAGACAACCGATAATTTTGCCACCCACTGCTTTTTCATACATCTGTCATATTCGACACCTTAATTGGTAATTACCTATTATTATCTATTAATGTGAGCTTGAATATTAAGATTGAAGATTTTACTTCAATCTTAATATTATCATTACTTAAGTTATGTTAGTTGATGTGTGTTGTATTCTTGTATTCGAATATTCATTTGATATTATTGTTTTGTTTACCTTATTTTATTTGAAATATGTATCCTTAAATTATAAAAAAACGTTTAGCTGTAAAAAAATCTACAACGATTAGGTATACAATTTTCATAAAAAAAAAAAAGTAAAAAATACCAAATAAAATATTTGTTTTAAATTTAATTATAAAATAATATATTTTATAAAAGTGGATACAAATCACAATATTATCATAACAGTGTAAAATTGTTTGTCGATAACATTTTGGCAGGAAATAAAGTGTTAATACACAAATAGGTATAATTTAATGACATTTTTTAATTAGTGTACATTTCATTATAATATATTTATTGCTCGCAATTTCTCAAGAAAATATTTGCTACATAAAAATCTGTATTTATCTAGAAAATACTGGTGGTTCAATTTGAAGGAAATCAGCATAGTTGTTCAAAAATAGGCGAATATTGTTTTGTGTTTGTTGACATTGTTAAAACATTTAGTTAGGCCTGACCTGATCTACCCTAAACTTTATTGTAACGTCACTGCTAGTTGACCAACAAAAAGCTCAAACGGCTGTCCACTGTACAGGTACTATGTATATGTCGATCAGAAAAATATAAAGGTAACACTGAGTATACACATGTATTATTTTAATTAAAAATATGGGATATTTCATTGAACGATTTTGACTAAGCCCCTTCGAAATTACTGATTTAATTAATGTCGTATAATTCCTCAGTATACAATTAATATTTTGCTTTGGCCGTGTTTATATTATTTACATATCATTTTTTTACATTACATTCTACTGTTATTTAATGTTTAAAATCGATTTTTTAATCGATCGTATCGGATCAGGCTTCAGCGCCATCAGGATGAAAACTCGAGTCAATGAATATTTTAATTGTTCACAATTTTATAACTTTAAAATTTCTGTCGGCCACATCATTGTTAAAATCCTAGGAATATATAAAACATAAGAAAAACTACCACAAACTATCTCCACTCGTGTGCAGCTGTCCATGGACCATGAACTATCTGAAATTTGTTTCAATTACTTTTAAAAGTGTTTTCCCGTTTTTGTTTAGATAATATTATATTATAAAACATAATTTCCGAAGAAAAAAAATGCTGCAATATCTCTAATGGCACTATCGGTGCAAAATTGTAATGTTATGTAACTAACTAACCAAGGACACAATTTTTTTTTTTATTATTGCATATTCAATTGTATTATGTGTAGCTGTAAAAAAAAGTTATCGTTTACTATGTTTTGTGACAATTTTACTATTTTTCGTTTTGTATAATTTTAACACTATAATTTTTTAAATCGTTACTCGACCACAATATAGCTGCCAAAAAAACCTAGACGTTCTGTTCAACAATGTCCGTTTATTTGTTAGTGGCTGAGAAAAACTGTAACGTTTCGGTTTGAATACGATTTACATAACTTAAAACTAACTGGATTCGACAATTACTTTGTCTGTTGTCAGGACCTAATATGATAATGGTAATTAATACAAGGAATTCTATTCTTGCGCATAATAAATTGAAAATTAATGTACCAATGTAATTTTTTTTTTTTGCGTTATCTTCAGTTTTTTAATTAGAGGCGAAAAGAAAATGCAAATTAAACCCCACAAACAAAATGCAGTCGACTATAGTATTATTTGTTTTTAATAATTGATAATATATATTCTACAGTTCCTGTTACTCTTGTACGTCGAATTATTGATATTTTGCATAATGCACTACGGAAGTACTCTTTATGCAAGTATCCAAGTCTGAATAAAATTTAAATTCTTATAGTTCTCTCGGTTGAAAAATCGGCATAGGTGTACTTACCGCAGTGACTTAATAATGACAATCAGTTCATGTAATAATATAATATTATTTGACCTCGAAACAAATACATGCATATTGATTGCATCGATTCAGTGTACCAACAG